GAACGTGACGCCCGCGCCGCGCCGGCCGCTCGCGTCCAGCACTGCAACAACGGACGTGGCTGTCAGCGCTCGCTCATCCCGACTATTGAGCAATTTGTCCAATAGTTTCAATGATTAAGCGCTCATTTGGATACAAACACATCAACATAAAGTATTGAAAAATATATCTTCATTGAATTCGTTCTGTTGTAATACGTTTAATAATAATAATAATAATAATAATAATAATAATAATAATAATAATAAAAACAATAACTATAATAATAAATATATTATTATTCAACATTATTCGTATAAATATATTGGGAATGATCCATCCGAGGATAAAAGTATTATACTCACCCTGTGCTCATAGGCAAGTCTGGGAAGAACATTCAAAGCAACGGATTTTTCACACCGCGGAAAATAGAATAAAACCACTTTTTTCAAATATAATATTTTGTATATTTTGATGAGGTAAAATTATGTCTTTTTTTTTTCAAAATATATTCCAATTTTTTTTGTGATTTCGTAAACGTCATACGTAGTGTTAAATCGAAAATTGTCATATGTAATACTAAGAGTGCTTTGGAAATATTCGATAAATCCCCGACTCGCGAAGCCAAGATGCCATTTAGTTCAGAAATTCCAAAGCCCGAGTGGTATTACATTGAAGTATTCCACGAATAAAATTAAGTCCAACACAGTTCTAAAATGCGCCAAATATTCAAAATAGCTAAAAACGTAATAAAGCCAAAGAGTTTGATATAGTACATGCGCGGTTTATCGCAATCAATACATACCGTCTCCTAAGATAAATGAATCACAGTTTATTATTGGCCAGTAGGGAGGGGTGATACAAAAAGTCGGATATAAAATGCGATCAATGTTTCGAAATACACCGCCTTGATTGCAGTATTTTATACGTATCATTAAACATCATTGGTTTTAATTTCACCAGTGGAATAGTCACAATTAATACTTTTCTTACTGCCTTGTATGTAAACGCATGTCCGATATTAGAAATTTCGTGTCGTATTGCATGTCGTTTCATGTCCATTTCTTGTGATCAGATAATAAAGATATTCAATAATAACGATCTGAATTTGTGCTTAGTAATGAAATCATATTCACACGAGACAGAGGTCTCTTATGAATGAGATTTCATCATAATAAAGATTTTCTCATAGAAAATCACCAAACCGGCGAACATCTGATTTCTCTAGATGGGCATAGCTTTTGTCTCACGCTCTCATTCACAGTTCCATAAATACAACGGTTCCTACTCTTCACGACGAGCGAACTACGAAATAAAGTGCTGATTGTGCAATACTATCTTCTCCAATGTCTACTGACAGCGACAGACTCCCTCTTTCTCGTCATTCAGGTCGTATCGTGATCGGTTTATGAACGTGAGAAACCCCACGAATCGCAAGAATCGTCTTCCCCTTAAGAGGATCGAGAAGCCCGTCACGCAATTGTGTAGGGAGGGTTGCCTACACCGAGTTACGTCCAGG